GTATTTAGTATTCGAATTATTGCCTGAATTCACAACACAATGGACTAAATGATTATTTTAGAGAAACCTAGAGGGGTGAAGAATAAAATAAAGGACTGTCCTCTTGGTCACCGCGGCTACATGCATGTATACTAAGACACCTTTGAGGTATTCATCAGATTCACCGTGCCATTGTCGCGTAAGAGAAGACTATTCTAATTTGGAAGTTGGGCGACGACCAATGGTCCTGAAACATTACGAAACGGCCGGTGCACTAACTTAGACGTTACGTGATGCCTAAACGATCCTGCGAAACCCCTTTTTCGCTCAGCCCGTCGCGAGACGCGAGGACGTTCTCGAAGATCGATGAACGACGTATATTTCGAGCCTCTGTTCACGCAAGAGCGGGTAGAAAATATTTGTAATCTTAACTTGAATTCGATTTTTCAACTTGCATAAAAATTGCAAAAAATATGCAGCTTAATGCAAGAAGAGTCGTGTTGACATTCAGACTCGAGAGGATTAAGTTAAGAGGAGCATGTTTTGATTTTATGGGTGCAATCGCCGTATCCGTTATCTGATCAGACGAGGTTACGCAGTGCGCAAACATGCTGAATAATAAAACCAAAGAGTAATTTACTCGGCAATCCTTGATTAAACAAAATTACCACCGAGTCGTCCTACAATCTTTGTATATAAAAAATCCTTAAATTTTTAAAATTTCGAAAACAGCGTACATTTTTTAATTAAAGTACCAATATAAAAAATTCTATCAGAAAACAATTGAATCTGATGTTGAACGCTGACAGTAGCGGTGCTGTTTCGTGTCAATGCCGTGGCAACGGACTCGAACGACGCCGTGCGTCGCGACGACGACGACGACGACGACGTACACCGTAGTAGAGGATCGAAGCCGAATGAGTCAGCCGACTAATATTAGAAGGTGAGGAGGCTGCCCTGGCCCGGTCCCTCTCTCGCTCGTTCTCTCTTTTTCCTTGCGACGACGCGACGGCTGTGGTCGACAGCGCCGCCAAGAGAGAGTTTCGCTGCTTCGACTCGGCCCCGGCGAGTCTTCAGGGTTCGTTGTTTGGAATGAGTAAACGCTGTGGAATTCGACGCTCCGAGCGAGCGAGCGAGCGAACGGGCAACCTGGGCCCGAACTCTCTAGGACAGGTGTAGCGCCAGCACCTGCTGCCTCCGTTTCGCGGCTCCTCTCGGTTTTACGCGATTCAACTTTTCCAATAAACTTAAACGAACAGCAGCTCTGCTTAATCATTCATTCAATAGATCTCAGAGGAATGGAGAAAACTGGATCACTGATACTTCTTAATATTCGTTTGTTGATATACTTTTCTTTTATCAAGAATTATCAGAATTATTGGGCATGAACGAAATTTGCATTAATTAGATTTATTGATATTAAAGCTTCATACGAGTGTTAACTTTATTTATTAATTAGACAATAATAAAAATAGTTGCATAAAGTAATCGATTATTCTTTTATTTCATTAACATATGCTTTAGACGAATCTAACATTATTTGCTGATTGATTTCACGTGTATACAGATTTTAGGTGAAATCTCTGTTTTTCCAACCTTTTAACACAACCCACTTTCATCACTCATTCCCTGAAAGACGGTCTCCGAACTCTCTCATTCTTCACGCGTCTCTTTACACAAACCCAAGGAATAAAAAGCTTGAGAAAAAGTAGGAACATGATTTCGTAACACTGTCACCTGAAAGGCAGCCTAACTCGCAGCTATCGAAAATGACCTCAACCATCCGGGTTACAGTCGCAATTACATTCGGATGACTATTGGCAATCCAGTCCAATTAGAGGAAAGAGCCGACCGTCTTAAAAGATTCTAACTAGAAGTCAATCATAATCATTTCTATCAAACGCGAGCCTAAATGAATAAAAAATATTTCAAAAAGATTTACAGTCTGTCAACCATAAGTCAGGCTGCGATCATAATGTTCCCCATTGAACATTGATTTCTCGTTGCCTGGCTAACGATTTTCTATCATTGTGTCAAGGGAAGAATGACGATGTTAAGAAAAGTACATAAAATAGATCTGAACGATCGGTTCCCGTGTTCATACGTCGCCGATGGCACCTACCTTGCCCGATTGGTCGCGAACCGGTTCGCCTTTACGACGAAACTAACAGCCGGCTCGCGGGCCGGTGACGCACCGTCGTCGTCGTCGTCTTCGTCGTCGGCTATTCACCAATCCGTTCACTCCTGTGTCCCGATAACGGCCGGCGATAATCCACGTGCGACCGCATGGAACCGAACCACTTCCTCACCGGTTTACGTTTGGGGAAGCGCGTTGCCCTCGAGGACGCAACCGGTACCGCGTCGCGAATCGGGGATAGAAACAAGGACGGGAAGAAATGATAAACAGAGAAGAGATGAACTATATAGGATTTTTATAGATCAGCGGTATATGGCTACGAGAAGAGGGCGGATGAAGTGTGAGAGGTATCGTCAGGGGGAAGAGAAGAGGAAAAGATATCCTCGGTTACGCGAACGAGGAAGTTCAGGAGAACGTTGGCACGCGGGTGCGACGTCCCCGGTGCCCGGCTCGTTTCGTCAACATTTCCGGTTGCGGTACCACGGCGGGGGCGGACGGTCGGTGGGAGGCGGGAAACAGGACCGGAAGTAAACACGATCCGTGTGCTACCGTCGCGTGTGACCGACCGAGCGTGCTCGACAGATCCGTTCACGGCCGCCGACAAGCTGAGACTGAGCGGCTAGCCGCCACTCGCTCGCGATCTACGAGTACACACGCGAGGCCACCGCGTAGCTGTGTGAGTGAGTGAAGCGCGTACGAGTTTTTGCGCGGGTGTGTGAGTGAGTGAGTGAGCGAGCGAGGGTAAAGAGACATCGGGATCGGGACGACTCGCGCGCGCTTAACGGAGCAGGTACGTATATGATTTTCTGAACAATCTGACGCATTGTTAATTCTTTGCCCTAAATGGATCGTCGAGCTGCTCGATAAGCATCGAAATAATCACAAGCGACGATTGAGCGAGCGTGCAAATAAAATTCTTCAACGAGCGATGACTGGTTATTTCGGTAGCGTTCGTTGTTAAGTTTCCTGTTACGAAACCACGCGACAGGGTCGAAGACCCTTTCATCATTAATAACAGTAGATGACAGAACTAATTTCGTTTTGACGACAGAGAACATGCCTCGGTTCCATTAAAAGCAAAAACAATTTTACGAAGTATTTCACGCGGCTCTTCACGTGAACCGCGTTTTTAATAGCCCCACGTGAATTTTTTTTCTCGAACGCGTGTAGCAAAAATTAGTAGCTACTTAGCGAGTCTACACCCACCGAACGCGTATTAATAGAAACACGTGTATTTCGAATAAATAAATACACTCGAACAGACACGACGTTCTGTTCGCTGATTCCACCTCACCGACGATTAAAACGATCCTCCTGTGAATTTCTTTTGCACACAACGCTTGAATTCTTCGTTCGCTTCCGTGTTTAAAAATGAAACCAACAATGAAATGAAACGATTAATGACGTACAATAATTAAATAATTACTATATTACTATCGACAGATAAGTGTAGAGTTGCTATGATTCATGTCGGTTGGATAAGGCTGAGACCTCAACAAGCATTACTTCAAATTTCGTCTTTTTTCTTGATCAATTGCACCGAGCACGATAGCGTACGGCACTGCATATCGTTCTTCTGTGTGTGCAACGATTACGCACACTCAGAAGAACCAGTTACACGCACGTGGAGACACGTACTTACACGTGACTGAGAAACGGCCAATGAGTCATCGACGACGCTGTTAACGCGCGCACACGCCAACTCTTCCTTTTTTTTTCGGGAGGGTTGACGGCGAATTTTCCATTGATAACAGAGCGATATCGCGAAAATAAACTCGCGAGATGGTCGACCATTTAATCGTAGCAACTTCTAAGGTATGTTAACCCCGTCGCGTGAAGCATTTGATTGGATCGATAGAAATTGCGTTTCCAGCTATCGAGCTGTTGTTATATAACGACTAGTTAAGAGTGCATTATGCTCGGTCTAAGTATGCACCTATCAATTATGAGTCGCTATGGAATTGCATGATTGAATATGATTAATTGATTTAATCTATTAAAATCCAGTATGTTTGTAATTCTTATTTACTACGTTCGTATTATTTTTAGTTTTATCTTTTCGTTATTTATAAACATCCCTTTTTTATGTATATAATTTTATACAATAATCTGCATGTGTGTTGCATTTTTCTGTATTCGTTGATAATACAGAAAATTATCAAAAACGAGACCAAAACAAATTCCTATCTATACTGCATTGCAAACTGACGTCACTAATGCTTGTTTTGCATAAAAATCGTCAGTGCAGTCATCAGACAAAAGAGATCTCAAGGAGAAAACAAATTGTTATTGTAATGGGAAGAATCGCTCGATATTTAACAAACTAAGTAAATAAATGAAAAACAAAAAATTATCACATAGCACTGTTTTTCTATCAAATTCCAAGAACTAACGATTAACGATGTTAATGTATTAGTGCGTTTCTCTCAATTTCAACTTACTAAACTTACAAATCAATATTTTCGCGACGCGAAAATCGCAATAACCAGTATAATTTTCGATGCAAAAATAATCGTCGTTTCACGCTAAAATCGAAGGTCAATACTTAAATTCGCAGAACTGGGAGTAGTGTTTCGTACAATTTTCCTTCATTCCTGACTAAATAAACTGGATCGATTCTCTCGTTTTCATTTCTCGTGTTAATCAGTGAAAGTTTAAAAGTGACTTCTATTAGGTAAACTTGGATCAAGTTTACTTAATGAAAGTTGTTTACATCAGAAAAAGGAGTAAAAATCGTTATGGTAAACTAGCCTCAAGACGTAAATTGTTTTTTCAGCCCAGATTTTCGCAGAAATATCATTTCAAATATTGTTATTCTTGCCTTCATCCAAATAATTACATTATTCTATTTTTCTGTTCTACTTCACTTTATCTGTCGAAGGAAAGATCAGATAAAGAAGATTCAATAATCAATGGAGAGAATAATTATTAAAATTCGTTATATAAAAACAAAAACAGAAATTGAAGTATTCTTTATATCATTTTATCAGAACTGTTCGTATTTCTTCTATCAACTTGGGTACGTCATTCATACATGATTAGATGTTAATGAGTGATTTCCTTTTGTTATTTGACTCAAAGGAAAAATTGGATATCGTACGAAAAATTAGGCACTCAGTTGTGTCATCGACTCGTTTAGATTTTTGTTTGTTCCAAGTCTTATCGATCAATCACATCGCTTATTTGTTGCACTCATAGATTCCTGATTAATCTGTTCTACCAGATAAGACGATAATTCCAGTATCCGTTATACAATATTCTATACACATAATAAAATGGAAGGTTTGTATCCGATCGAAGAATACGGATATTAAATGTGACTATACGAAATTACACNTTGAAGTATTCTTTATATCATTTTATCAGAACTGTTCGTATTTCTTCTATCAACTTGGGTACGTCATTCATACATGATTAGATGTTAATGAGTGATTTCCTTTTGTTATTTGACTCAAAGGAAAAATTGGATATCGTACGAAAAATTAGGCACTCAGTTGTGTCATCGACTCGTTTAGATTTTTGTTTGTTCCAAGTCTTATCGATCAATCACATCGCTTATTTGTTGCACTCATAGATTCCTGATTAATCTGTTCTACCAGATAAGACGATAATTCCAGTATCCGTTATACAATATTCTATACACATAATAAAATGGAAGGTTTGTATCCGATCGAAGAATACGGATATTAAATGTGACTATACGAAATTACACAAAGAATTGAAGAATAAATTGATTTAGAATCCTTATTCAATGGCGAGAAACATCTGGGGAACAGAGTATGAAGAGAAGCAGGGGAGTAATGACGTGATACGTCTCTAACATTTTTACGGTGCTCCGTTTCTCGGTAATAAACGTTTTCCTGCAAACAGTCTCAGTATATCCGGTTCCAATACAACCATTTCTCGACTTATTCACAGCACAACGGAACGATAATCCTTCGTTTGAAAAATCAACTTCTATAAAACTCGACGGCAATGCTTATCTAAGCAAATCATTTTTACCGAACGTTGAATCTGATCAGGATTCTCGCCGTTGCTTGTCACCGTCGCTTGATTTAATGCAACGTTATAAATAATTTATGATCTCTATTCCGTTTACAGATTTACATAAAAAATGTTAATACCGCCCGATAGGAAGGACGTAACCACCGAATCCATTCTTTCATTATCTGTACAGCTGATGACGTCAGGTTGATAGCGCGAAGACACGTGTTTACACGCAAGCCTGAAACGTGTACACAGTGCGTTATCGTTCCAGCGGCAAGTGTTACAAGCTACTACGTGTCCAAGAATGCTGCTAGTAATAAGAAAAGAAGATACAAAGAAGAATCGTTGCTCTTTTCATTGTACGTACAGTGAATAAGTAAATGCAGCTGTTTGGAACAGTGGTTTAGACATTATTTCTGATTAGGTTTATTAGACATACGTGAATTAATAAATAATGACTCAAGGAAAACATATTTGTTGACTATTAAATTATTTTCAAAGAGAACTGACTGTTGAGAAGTCCCTATTTTTTGTCTTTCGGACGCCACACGGATCGAGGAGGCTGGCTACGCCGATCCGAACAA